TACTTCTGGTGTGAAAATAATGTTGAGGTTCTTACAGTCAATGGTCATAAACAAATTTTACGCGTTTCGTATGTAGTGCATATTCCTAATACAGTAAATGCAGCGTAAAGTTTTCTAATATTTATCTTTTTATGTCCTGAACAAAAATATAAAAATAAATAAATCGAGATATTTCATTACAAACAAAGTATTGCTTTTATTATTTATGTTGCCGTACAATAAGTAAATAAAATAATTATTTGTGTTGCTTAATGCGATAGGTATGCCAATATCTATAATATTACTAACCTATAATACGTATAATGAAATGAATGTATAGAAACAAAATAACATATTCGATGACTTTAAGTTTCCCTATACAAGGAATAGGAGAATTATTCTTGACACGTTTTTTTTTCCCCATTAAATATTTTTTTTATTACACAATCAGTTATAACATATAAGTGCATATCACTATATCAGTGTATGTTCTATGATGAAATAAAATACATATATATAGGACTCTTATATTAAGACTCTTCCCACTAGAGGAACTCCAAAAATTCTAGACATAAAATTATTTGTCTACTATTTAAAAATTCGTAATAATTTAAGGTTAGTTAAAAAAATCCATCACTTAATTAATTAAAACATTTCTAAATTGATCACTTCGATATTATTTAAATATTCCACTAGGTATAACTATTTTTGGGCTAACAGAAAAAAAACTTGAATAAAAAAACTATTAATTATTGATTATTAGCTTTCGTTATTTATGGCTTAACCTATATATATACGACTGGAATACTGAAAGATTCTTCTGAAAATTAATCTTTCTAAACATTTTTAATCCCGATAATTATTTATAAAATAAATTGAATATAACATTAATATTATATAATAGCTATGAATTTACAGTACCTACGCTAAAATCGGCAGTGTTATCAATCTTTGTCTTTTATAACGTTCATACTTATTTGGTATTATAAGTAGTATAATTTATCAGGATTTGTAATAGATTTCCGATTGATCTAAGTTTTGAAGGTACCTCTACTTTCTTATAAATCATGATCCCCATATAACATTATCAGCCAAGAACTGTGTATGGTAATTATAAATTAAATTAAATTTCCCTTAACCTGTTTAGAAATAATATGTGCAACATAATATTATAAGTTATAACCAACCTATATGAAATTAAATAATGTAAATTTAATTACTACGCTTTGAAATATTATTATACATAGTACCTATTTGGGTATCAGTAAATGTGTTTCCTGCATAGCGATATAGTGACCTTTAACCGTTGCAAATGTATATTCCTAAATGAATACATAGGTACCTAGTTATATAAAGTAAATAGAAACAGAGTACGATTGAATGTGTATTTAATCCAGTATATTAACTATTATTAAATAATCACTATCAAAAATAAAATTATTAACAAATAATAAAAATAAATGTAATATAGGTATATAATAGGTTAATTAGTATTTTAAAATTGATATAAATAATTATTATGCAATTAGTCCTTAAATAAAAACTACTATTCCAAATATTCAGAAAAAATCACATTTTGTCAATTTATTTGATAATTAAGAAAACCTTAAAGCAACTAAATTTAATAAAATGAACACTTCAATAAAAAAAAAAAGCATCTGTCTTTCCAAATAATTGTTTAAGTAAGTACTGAATATATTTGTTAGCTCGTATTAAACATTTTCATACATATTTCCACATTAAAAATACGCATTTTTTTGTCATTTCCTTTAATGCATTTTAATTGCAAAAGAAAATATTATTTTCAGGACTCCAATTAATTATAACAAAACAATCGGAAAAAAACAATAATAAATTTAACTAAAACACGGAACCACAATTTTATAAACACGGTTTGTCTCAGTATTATTCACTAGATAATTTTTTATTACGAATAAGCGGTACGACGATATGACAATTTTAAAAAAGATTCTAAAAAGATTTTTTTATGATTACTGCAAAGTCTGGAGTAGATAAATACACTGTTTTACAATGGCAAAAAAATAGATCAAAGAAATAAAGAGTAATAAACACTAGTGTAAAATAGATCAAAAGAAAAAATAATAAGAATTAAATTAGCTAAACGACTAAGACACACAGAAAAAGCATGGATTAGAGGTTATGCATATAGATGAAAAATAATGACCTAGACAACTCATTTGATTAATAAAGTCATTAAAATTGGTTACTAAAATCTGGATGTATTTTTGTTTAAGCCCATTGTACCTAAAACCTTTCAAATTAAAAAAGTTGTATGCTTGTTGATTAATTTAAAAATAAAGAATAATTATGTCAAAAATAACCGTTTTTTCTTTTAAAAAAACATTACATTTTTACTATTGCTAAAGTGTTTTTTTACTACGGATTTTTAACTTGTCGTCCAAAACTGGAACTTTTTGGAGAATTTCGATTTATAAAAATCAAATTTAGAACTAGCGGTTACTTAAAATATTAAACAGCTGTTTAATATTTCAAAATGAATATTTCAAGTTTATACGAGCGGAGCGGAGTAGCACATTCTGGTAACTTGTAAAATGTTAGTCTATTATCCAGCTCATCAACACTTTAAATAGGTACCTAATTATAATGAATTAACTAGTCAACATTTATGAGTCCACATTTTTAGTAAATAGGGTATACCGTCTAAATCTTTCTAAAAAGTAAAAACATTAAATTTATTAAAAACGATGATAAAATTAAAATAGTAAAATATAAAGTTAATATTATAAGTTTTTTGACTTTAAGAAATGTAAAAGAAATATTTTCAAAAGCGTTACTAGCTCACACTTTCGATTGCAAGTGGTCAATGTTAGAAGAATATCACTCAGAATCACTTAGTTTTCCAAGTAGGTTTTTTCATTTTTTACTGTAAGCATATTATAATTTCGGTACACAAATTGCGATACGGATACAATTCCAGTTTATTACAGAATATTGTTACATTATTATTACTGCTAATATTATTTATGTTGTATGATATTTTAAAATGGTATAAATCAGAAATTCATGGTAATTACTAATTAGTTAATGAATTTTGTCATTCATAATTAGTATAGATGAACATAAATTTATAATATCGTATACGATATTATTATTTATTTTGGCTCACAACGAATATTATTTGAATGTACTTTTACAATATACCTATAACCTACAGAAATATTATATGCATTATAATATTATATTATTACACATTCATTATACCGATGAATTCATAAAACAAATTTACGTCACGTTGTTTCAAAAGAAAAATTAACGGTGTTTGTGTAACCTATTATAAAAAAATATAAATATAAATTTAATTATTCATAATGTATATTTTACTTTTTCGATATAATTTATAACAAATATTAGAAAAAAAATCATCGAAAACAATAGTAGGTAAATATATTGTATATTATATTAAATAATTATTACATTCAAACTTTTTATGATTTCGAGTTTTTGTATAAATATGTTTTTACAATTATTTATCGTAAATTATACCCGAACACCAAGGCATACTCGTTATTCTAATAACATATACAATAATTCATAAATATAATTAAATCCCTTATAGTCCTATCGGTGAATATATAATTACTACCTATAATGTGGCTTATGAATTTTATGAAGGGGTTTTCTCTAGTACCTAATCGGCTAGCTAATCGGTTTACTTTAACAGATAAACTGTAGTTTAAAATAATAATGGCCCATAAACGTCTCAAAATCAATTAATTATAATTTATAAATAACAAACAACAAAAGTTTAAAACGTATCCAATGTAAAAATAATTATTGTAGTATGACATTTAAATATTATCTTATTTTGTACATATAATTCCGTATTAATTGATTTGTCGATTAAAATTTCGAGGAAAATAATATTTTACAATATTTTATTTATTACAGATACATAAACGTTTGAATGAAAGTACATTTGAAAATATTTATCATTCAATGTAAAAAAAAAGGTTAATCTTAACCTAACGAAAAAAACATCATAGTACCTACAATGTTCTGTCATAAAATCAGTGGTAAATAATAATAAAAATAAACAAAATGTTTCTAGTTTCAATTACTTGTTTTGGCTATTTTTACTAAATTTTGTATTGTATACACGATTTGAATTATTTTGTTTGCATCAATTTAAATATTAGGAAAATAACGTCCACCTTAAAATTTGTAATATAAAATCAAATCAATATCAATAAAGAATGGGAGACTCTTATAAATTACAACCAGTTTTTTCTTTCAAATAATTTATTAATACATACAATTTATGAAAATTCTAAAATTTTGCATATAATATTTAATATGTCGAAAAAACCCCTTTTTCATTAAAATATGATGGGTATAATTAAATATGTAAACTGCACAAAAATTGTCATACCTGAAGGACCGAAACACATAGGTACATTACGGTAGCACGCCAAAATTATATTTATAGTGCCTTAGGGATTTGGAATAAATATAAGCTATAACATTCGTACAAGGTTCCTCTCGTTGATAATCAATATTCGTTCATATTTCGATCGATATATTATTAATTTATTATAATACATTTAACACCAGCTATATGGGTGTATACACTTGTCTCCTTTGACTTTGAAAGTATCGTATGGTTGCAATAAATAAAGTTGCAAAGTAATAGCTGTAATATTCGATCATTAAATTTAAACGACGATAACGAAACATAAATTAACTTGCAATAGCTATTATAATTAATTGATAAACATTTTTAAAGCTGTACGCTTATATTGTCATTAATATTATGTTTTGTACGGATTTTTGGTGGAAATAATTTTCGGAGGTACTCGTGGTGGTACTTAATTACGTTTTCAATAATTCTAAAATTATATTGCCCCAAGTTAGATTAATAAAAATAAATATAATGGTATAAAATATATACGTTACGTCCGGAATTATAAATTTTTTTGCGCGGCAAAGTGGTCTTGTTACTTAATAATAATATGTACACGTAATTCATTCAAACCAGGTGCCTATTTAATTAGACGTTTCTTACCTGCAACGGACGAACTGTGCGTTCTCTTGACGTTAGCGCCGTCCAACGTGTCCTGTAACGGACGTTTCCTGTTCTCGACAGCGTGCTGTTGCTGCAGCTGAAGATGGTGATGATGTAGATGGTGATGATGATGATGATCGTTGGCCGGTGACGCCGGGCACGCGTCCATCATTTTCACGTCCCCGGCGGCGGCGGTTGTCGTGAAGCAACGACCGCCGATCGACGGCGTCAACGACAACGATAACGGCGACGACAACGATAACGGCGACGACAACGATAACGGCGACGACGACAACGACGACGAGGACGACGACGATAACGACGACGGCGATGACGACGATAACGGCGACGACGACGACGACGACGACGACGGCGGTGACGGCGGCGACGACAACGACGACGGTAACAGCGGCGAACACATACCGGCGCCGGCCGCGGCCACCGAATCGAACTGCATCGCGTACAACATTCGCTGGCAAAAGTAATGGTCAGGCGCCGACGCCGTGGCCGCGTACAGCTCCGCGCCATCGGCGCCGCCGAACATACCGCCGCCGCCGGCACTCGTCTGCGATGTACCGGTCAAAAACTGCATCGCGCCCGTTCGTTTGTTATTATTTGTGCCCCAAGAAACGACAGAAAACGAAAATTTATTTGAAAAAAAAAAGAAAAGGAAATTTTTAATAATAATATTATTTTATTATTATTGTATTTTAAGATTAACGTTGAGAACTCTACGAATCGCGCGAGTCGTGATCGTTGGGCAACTGAGACGGTTGCTGATGCAGTGCTGCGACGACGGTGTCGTTCTGTTGAGCGCGGTCAGGGTTAACACGTGTGCGTAACGCGAGTGTCCGCGTGCTCCGACGAGTAACTCGCGACCGTCCGGCGGTATAATAGCAATTTATAATTTATATAGCATTTATAGTAATAATAATAATACGATGTCGATGATATTTATTATTATTATTACACACTGCACGTCTTCACGGTCTTCTCTCCTATAGCCGTGTGTCGTTGTCGCTGTTGTTGTTGTTGTTGTTGTTGTTTTAAAGCCGGTTGCGCGTTGATGATGATGACGACGACGACGACTGCAACGACGGACGATCACGCGGGTGCATGCGACTATGCGAGTTTAACGATTAGCGCGCGCGACCGGTGTGCCGCGGGTCCGCTCTCAGTGGCTGCCGATCGGCCGGCCGGTCCGCCCGCCCGTGCCCTTGCCGCCAAAAGACCTTGCCCGCGCAGACCCACTCGCCGCCCGCGCGCCCTTCCACCCGCGCCGTTATCCTACTCGAGCCACGGCCGCCGCGACCGCTCGTCCGTCGGCCGGTCGCGGGTAGGTCGTCCGACCGGTCACGTTGTCGTCGTCGTCGTCGTCGGACGATCGCAGACCAAAATGATGGCCATGGGAGGGGGGGGGGGCGGCCGGCCGTCGTCGTCACGATCAAGGGCGCCGGGCAAGGGGCACCCCGCCTAACCGACATTTCGGTCAGGCATCGTCTTAGGTATTGGTACGGTGACTTTCCGATATGAATATTTTTTTTCTAATAAAAAAAATTACCGTCATTAAAGCCATAATATTGTTGTACTATGATAGTCAGCCGCTGCTATTAGACATCGCGCTGTATTTAAATATTTCAAACTGCACAGTGAAGTGATAATTTTATTATTATTTTACATCACTTAAAGTTAACATTATACCATAATATTATGTTCGACGAGACTAGCGTGGGACGGAAATCCTATAATCGCGATACTTTAGACCAGGGGTCGGCAACTAATTTCTATGGCGGTCCAGATGATTTAAAAAAAAAATTAAATATTAGTTAGTGTTTATTAAAAATACAGTTTAAGCTATTCAAAGCAAATTATTATTTAATGTAATATAATATTAGCCAGTTTTTTTAAAAATGTGTACCATCTCTTGGAGAACAACAAATGCGCAGAGTATTTTTTGAAGGTGGTTATCAGTTGTTAATCTTTTATCTTGAGCGATGTTTATTCTTTAAAAAAATCATTTTGCCCAACAAAGTTTCACATGTTATATGTATGCGGAGCCAAAATATGTTCAAATACAACGTAAAAACAGATCAAACAATATCTATTGTGTGTGGAAAACCAGCATTAAAAAAAATATTCTTGATGGTCCAGTTATTTCCCCTCCAAGGGGCCGGATTGGGCCCTCGGGCTGCCTATTGCCGACTCCTGCATTAGACGTTGGCTCCCCCTCCGCACTTTTCGACTTGCGTTCCCGGGGCCTACCCTCGATCGATAATTGCATATAAATATTATAATATTATATGAAACACACAATGAATATTAAAACCACTAATTTAACAGTCGATGTTGCAAGTTATGCTCATAGTTTTTAAAGCAAAACAAATATTGTATTACCTACTATATATAAGTTCAGTTTTTTGTTCAGCATATACACCTGAAAAACGTGCAAAATTAAATTGTTGGTGAACTAAAGAACAGCGATATTTTTAGTGCAGATACCTCGATTTATATTTTCATCACTATAGCTATATATTTAATATTGTAATAATTATACATATTATATGTTTTTGTACGTACATGGTAAGTAATACGTATAATATAAGAGTATATAAGAAACATACAATTCAACCTAATGTACAACATTTTATTACAATGTATCATCGTGTGCATTTCTAAGTTTGTTTCCGCGAAGGAAAGGTTTAAAAGTCCTTTTCCTACAGCCTAGGCGGGTAGCCTGTATACCTAATTTACCTAGTTAGTAAGCATCCGTCTATTGGCCGTACACTCGTGTATGTACGAGTGTTGTCACATTTTCATCATCATTTTTTTTATTAGTAAGATAAGTCTCGTCTTCTGGGCCATTGGCTGACAATTTTTTATTCGTATAATATACGTTGACATTTTTATCTTTGTAATTACATCGTAATTAGTATTATATTATAAGCTTTAAGTCCAACGACAATGATAAAGCAACACAAACTACAAATAATACGAGTATATCTATACCTATAGGTAATAATACGAAAAAGTGTATTCCAATGAAATCCAATTTAAAACATACATTTTAATTCAAAAACCCTGAAATGTGCAATTTTGAACTAAATAAAACTTTGTTATAAAATTAATCTACTTACTTCATTTGATTCGGATTTATAACTTGTTTCTATACAATTTGGTACACGCATTAAAAAGTTGCAACCGCACGAGAATCCGGAATTTAATTATAATAATAAATCATTTAGGTATATTATTAAAGACACTCACTAATGATGTGTATGCAACTGGGCAATTTGGCGTAGTTTGGAAAAATAATATGGTCCCTATAAAATAATTACATATTATACTAGGTACATTATATTACATTTTATTATCTATAATATGTAGGTGTATTACTTTTTTTGGTTGTTCTAAAATTATTAATAATATATACAAAACATTAAAACCATCCTAAATATCTAGTGAATAATTTATTCTTATTTACTAGATGACACTATAATGCCTAGCTATTGCTAGGTTTTTGTGATTATGCGAGCAGTATATATTATCATTTATCAGGTAGGCAATCTACCTGCGACAGATCATGGACGCGTACGTATAAGTCTATAATTTAACTCTAAAGTATCAAAGTTATACAATCAATTAATACAAAATCCTAACCTAACCTAACCGTAGGTAATAAAATCCGATTAGGTAATAAAAAAAAACCAAACGTAAGTGGGTATCTATAGATAAAAAAAAAATTAAAATAAGAAAAACAACAGTGTATAAACAATGCAATTGATAAAAATTATTATTATTAAAACCAATTTAACAACCATTTAAAAACAAAAATTACCAAAAAAAAAACAATGCAACAAATTTGTTTACCGAAACCGTGGTTCGAACTCGAGACCCCTGTTCAAATTCCTTGTTTGAGAACTTCCCAGGATTGGACTTATTTACCTTTTTCGAGACAAAATGTATAGCCTATCTTCTTCCCCAAGGTCTAATCTGTGTCTGTATACCAAATAGCATCGCAATCGGATGAACATAAGAAAATAGGAATGCATATAAAGGACACAGGTACAAACATGGTTTGTCTTTTATATCTATAGATTATACCTAGGTACTAAAATAATAACTCAGTACAATTTATATACAATGTGTAGGTTCATACATGGTACATTTTTCTAAAAAAATAATAACCAAAATATCATCAATAGTAGCGAAAATATTAGAGAGTCATGTGTCGAGTTGCAACTTGAAAAACTGAAAAATTGGTTATAATATTAAACCATGAAGGTTCACTAAAATGTAACGGGACCAATCGTCGGCCACTAAATCAAATTTTATGGGTTTATCATATTATTATGATTCGTTACATCGGGGGCGTATTTAAGGGGTGGCACACATTCCCCCCTCATTCACAATATTTGAAATGGAATAAGGCAATATTATATACCTACAATAATATACATATTTATTTGTATAATTGTACCACACACAATATTATATTTCGAACTGGGAAAATTATCGATTCGATGAGGCTTCCCCCGAGTTCCCTGCCGAGTTCTCCAAGTTGGTAGGTACTGAAGCAGAGTGATTACGAGAGAACATTTTCAAACGCCGCCTATATAGCTTTTAGTCTTGTTTTCGGCCTCAACGGTCTCGTTCCACATGGAGGACTTTTATTGCCTTTTGCCATTAATCTCCGCGTCGGTCACGCTGTCTATATAATATAAAATATGGGTAGTTACTGTATAGTTATGTATCAGACGCGTGTCCGAATGATATACATTTCGATACATATAGACGAACGTCACGAGTCGGATTATACATATTATTATATAAACTTTGGAGAACTTTCGGGTTCGTTTTTGAGCTAATATTATTTATTTTTAAAACGCTGTACACTCGGAGACCAAATCGAGACCTCGCTGAAAAGCTTTTGATGTATTTCCTGTCACGTAAACGTACAAACGCACTCATATACGCATCTCTTTAACATTACGACGGTAAACCGAAATATCATATTACAATATACCAGCCAGACAGCAGCATTAGCATCTGCTGTGAAATGAATATCACGTATTTATTTATTATATTATAGAACACACGCGAACTATTTTCTGTTATTGTTTTATTTATAATATGTATATGCATATAGAGTTACTCCGATGCGTCTCTCTGTCTTTGTTACTATACCTATACTATGTATAATAAATAACTGGATAATGCAACTCTTACAGCTCACCAACGGCGTATATCAATGTATTATATTATATCTGTGTATGCGTATGTTTAAATAATAAACTTAATAGTTAATGCAATTAGAAAAATATAGGTAGGTGATATATGATCTCATATTATATTATAATATATATGCGTATAAATAAATTAACACTTAGATTATATGGATATGTCAATGTCACATAATAAAAAATGCAATGTTATAATAGGTACTTTATTATGCAATATATAATATGCGTATACTGTGTTTAATTTAAAAACACTAAAGAAAGAATATAAACACCTGTGTCTTTTACTACTGGTTTTCAAGCTCTCCCGTTTTAGATTTTTAACCTCTGAAATTGTACAAGTGAACGTTTCAGA